TCACAATATCGAGAGCATATCGCATTATTCTTCCCTCACCCAATCACTTACTCCTTGGAAAGGCCTGAAGCGAGGATGAAAGAGGGACGCGGCTCAGACGGCATATCGGCACGCTCAAGGGCTCTACAAGGAGAAGTTCTGTGAGAAGACTGCATTATCCAGGCCTGGGTTCTCGTGTATATGAGGACAGGGTATTTCCTCCTTCTAGGACCCTTGTTCTCTACTTCCCAATCCTCAAGTCCCTTGTCCCCGAGCATCCTTCCTGACCGGGAAAGAAAGAAAGACCATCTGAAAGAGACATACCGTGTATAGAAGATCATCTTTCTTGTTGACCTGACACCTTCCAAACATGGCACCTCCAGCAGCCGACGTTGATCTCTTCACGCACACGAGTTCTGGGCCCATCCCAGTCACCAAAGTCAACGCCCAAAGCAAGCTCAAGGAGCCGCTCAAGTACTCGGGCTCGTTGGACCAATACAAATCGTTCGATGTCACAAAGGTCATTGGCAGGGAGTTCCCAGACTTGCAACTCAGCCAGATCTTGAACGACGACACAAAGATCCGTGACTTGGCCATCCTAGGTTTGTTCCCCGAGAGCTTCCCCCACTGAGCCAGTACATACTAATGGGCCTGGCCGCAGTGTCCCAGCGTGGTGTCGTCTTCTTCCGCAACCAGGACCTCAACATCGACGATCAGAAGGTCTTGGGCCAGAAACTCGGAGAGCTCACGGGAAAGCCGGAGACGTCCAAGGTATGAATGACAACCACGCCGTTATTGCCGACCTGCTCTAAAAACCTCGTCGGTGATGTATGTTCCTTGAGCTAACGTCGACAATAACAGCTCCATCGTCATGCTCTGAGCAACAGCAAGCGTGGCATCGCCGTGGACGAGAATGGCAAACTGGACGACGAAGTCTCAGTCATTTCTTCCGAGCAAAACCGCAAGTTCTACAAGGACCGCTTCACCGCCAAGTCCAAGGTGCTCGCCAGCGAAGGATGGCATGCCGAGTAAGTCTACACCGTCCTTGAGGTGCTCTCTTGGGGGGAAAAGTTCCATGACTAACCCGTCCTTAGCATCACCTTTGAGCGCATCCCATCGGACTACGCCATCCTCAAGATCATCAAGAAGCCCGAAGACGCCGGCGGCGACACGCTGTGGGCGTCGGGCTACGAGGCGTACGACCGCTTATCACCCGAGTTCCAGAAGCTGGCCGAAGGGTTGACGGCGACGCACCACCAGCCCAACTTTGTCAAGGTGGCTAAGGAGTTTGGCGAGGACCTGATTGAGCAGGACCGCGGCGCGCCCGAGAACACGGGTCTCGACTTTACCGCGTCCCAGTAAGTTCCTCATCCCCAATCAACAAATCACCATTGTGTATGTCCCTCTTTGGCTAAACTTGTCCACAGCCCCGTGGTGCGCACCAACCCCGTGACAGGATGGAAGAGCCTTTTCGGCGCGGGCCACCAGATCGAGCATGGGTGGATCGACAAGGTGACGCCGCGCGAGAGCGAGATCCTCAAGGCCTACTTCCTGCAGCTCATCACCGACAACCACGACCTGCAGGTGCGCTTCCGCTGGAACGAGAACGACCTGGCCATCTGGGACAACCGCTCCGTCTTCCACACCGCCACAAACGACTACGAGGGCAAGCGCCAGGGCAACCGCGTCGTCTCCCTCGGCGAGCGGCCCTACTTTGACCCCAACTCGGTTTCGCGCCGACAGGCCTTGGGTATTTAGAAAGGAAAATCCCGCCTAGAAATAGGGGAACAAAAGGGTGTGGGGAGGGCTGAGGGAGATCCCAAGACATGACATGACAAGCCAAGATAAGATATGCACTGACTACAATCTCTGCCAAAGAGACAAGCAGATGTCGTATGTCAGATCGAGTCGTGTCGTGTCGTGCCCTGTTGATCTCTCGATTCGCAGTCAACAATAGAAGCAAGCGGATAGGTGTAGATATGTACCTCGTACGTCGGGTAGACAGATAAAAATCATACCTCTGGCCTTCAAAAAAATGCATAGCCACCCATATATTACAGAGCACGCCATCATTTGAAACCCCCCTCCCCTTCTCCCTCATTCGCTGAGATACTTCCGATAACGCAGAAACTCAGAGCTCAGTTCTGCACTTCTATACATCTATCGTATCGATCCGCTGACGAGCGAGGGGTGCGCGTGTACCTCGTAAGAAAATACATGGTTTCCTTGTTCAATGCCGAGGGGGACGTTGGAGAAAACCACAGCTTTTGGAAGGAATATTTAGCACGGGGGAGAAAGCCTGGTGGGATGATGGGACGCAGAGCGAGAGAGAGGGAGAGAGATGTACAGCGTCTTTGCTACACATTACTGTCCAGCCCACTAGGTTCCTATACAAGGCCATACCCTCGCCCATGCATGCCATGCACGCCGTGTCACACCACACCACGTACGAGGTATACAGCCTCACAATTTGATGCTCTTGACCAAGTTGGCCTTGATGCCCGTGGCCTCGCCGCCGTAGCCACCTCGTCCTTCGCCACCCTTGTACAATTGTCGAACGGACGCCAGCTTCTTCATCTTCTCGTCAAACTTCTTGCGCTTCTTGACGCGCGGGTTGCGCACCTCCTTCTTCCGCTTGGGGGCCAGGCCTTTATTCTTCTCGATCGCGTACGTAATCTTGCGCTTGCCGTCCGGGCCAACCACCTCTTCTGCCTCCTCGCGCACCTGGCCGCCTAGGCGGGCGGCTTCGGCGTAGGCCTCTGCTCGGGCGCGCTTGGCCGCTTTCTTCTGCTGCGCGTTGGTGACCAGCATATCGTAGTACTCGTTGGCCTCGTCGTTGATTTTCCGGCCGACTTCGACGTCACTAACATCGTCGTCATCATGGTCCTGATCGTCAAGGACCTCCCGCTCGTTCGCGGTCGCACGGCCTCTCTGCTCGGCCTCGCGCATCAGCCGTTCCTGTTTATCTCGGAGGCGCTCTTTGTATGGCAGATCGTCGTCACCTCCGGCCTGTCGCGACGCCGCGCCTCGTTTGTTGGCCTTCTGCACAATCTGCGAGGTGTAGAACCTCAGAGACTTCTTGCGTCGAGCCTTCTCCGCTGCCTCCTCTTGAGTCAGGGGATCTTCGTCTCCAAAGTCGGATTCTTCTTCTTCTTCTTTCGTCGATTTCCGCAGTGACGACGATAGTAGTTCTTGCAATTCATTTTTCTTTGGTTTCTTGGCCTTTTTCGACTTCTCGATGCTCGGCTCTTGAATCTCGGGGGCGGAGGGTGGCTCCAGAGACGTCTGCTTTGTCTTTGTCTTTGACTTTGACTTCTTTTTCGCCGGTTGTCGTAAAATCTCCCTATGTACATCCTGTGACACAGCGGCTGGTGGTTCCAGTTCAACGGGTTCTATTGGCTGCAGGGATTCAGCTTCCTGCCACAGCTGGCGACAGCGGACAAGGTTCGACATCACAGGATGGTCTCGGAGCTCTGCGGGGGCCAGCGCCATGCCTGTCTTGGTGGAAGTCAGTAGAGCAAGATACATGGCCACTGCCCCGAGGTACGCAGACACGGCTCGAAATTTTGTCAGCGTGACACCGCCATCGTTTTGTCCTTCGATCTCGGCTCCTTTCTTCAGTGACCGGTACGTGTCTTGTAAGGAGAGAAAGTCTTCCGTCAGCGGCTCGAACTCTGGGTATCTCGATTTCAGGATTTTCATCCGTTCGTCGACACTCGCATCCTCAGGGATGTGGAGTTCAGGCAGTTTCTCCACCGCTGTCCGTTTCTCCTGAGACTGCTTGTTGTCGCCAACCCAAGCACTCTCGTCGAATCCAAAATCTGCCTCGGTCATGGCCTTGAGTTGTTTCAGCTGCAGCCTCCGGGCCTCTTGTTCTTCTTCCAACGCATCGGCTTCGGTCTCGATCACATCAGCATTGTAATAGTCGGCCTTGGATGTTCCCCAATTGCCATCATCTCCTTCTTCTTCCTCTCCATCATCTTCAACCTGGCCAGTACTTCCCTCGTCATCATCTTCGGACTCGTCTTCACTCGCCGGCTCCTGGTAGACCTCCTCGTCCGACGGCTCCAGGTCGCGCTCTTGGTCTTGTAGCTTCCTCCTCCTCTTCGCAGCAGGTGCTTCATCGAGCAGCACCTTGTCTCTCCCCGCGAAAAACTCGTCTTCCGAGTCGTCAAAGGTTTCTTCGGCGCCATAGCGATCATTTTGTCCCCGCAGGGCGGAGGTTTGCACCGTGCGTACAGCCTTTCTTTTTTTGGCCATCTTGACGGAGTACGCAAAGGGGGTCTTCCCTTCCACGCATCAGTAACCGTATGTAATAGGTTCCTGCTGCTCACCCATATGCTATGGCCGACAACTTGCAGATTGAAACTTTTTTTTGGAGACGCAGGCTTGGCGGCCAAAAACTGGGGTGACGTAGATGCGCCAAGCCGCACCTGGGACACCCACCCAACCTATGCCGCTTTTAAACACTACTCGCCTCTTCTTCTCATTTCTATATTGCACTTAACACCGTAAGAGAAGGGCGAGACTCTTACCCAGTATGTCGGGAGGCTCTATACTGCCTCTTATACCGAGTATTCCTACTGGCAATCTACTGGGAGTCCCTAGCAGCTAAGATACTTTCTGCGCAGGGGAATATGTGTTTTGATCCTCGAGCGACGAGAGCTGAGACCACTTCCTTCCCGAGATGGATACGCACGTCTTAGATCAATTTTCTCTGGGGACCTAATATATATCTTTTGGCGTAGAGATGTTGCTGTCGGAGACTACGGTTTGTGAGAGACCTCTGGGTGCTGAGTGGAGGAACTCAGCAAGACGCATACCTGCCTACGAATAAGTCAACCAAAGTCCCCCACCTGCCCGCTGCTTGTACAACCTGATCGGTTCGATCACCACGAGAATCATCGATTCTTTGGCTGCTGAAATTTTCCATGGCAAATGCATGGGCGACTTTCGTGCTCTGGTGTTTGAGAAATTATAGCCCAGGTGGCCAAAACTTTGTCCCATGTGTAATGACTACCATGTCTACCATTGTGTCGCCTGGTACCCTCGAGATTGATGCTCGGCTGGTTGAGATTGTCCGGGTGGTTGTACACACCCCAGGACCTGCCGGTCCGACCACTAGCGACAATCACTGGTCCATATATCTCGTTCTTGTCGGCAGTCAAGGATCGATTCGAATCAACATGAGAGCCGACCCGGGCTTCATCGACGGCATTTTGGAGTGGACACAACAGCTTTATCTGCTCAGTACCTCGGCCATTCGAAAATGGGATTTCCCGCGGGCAAAATTCTTCAGAGTTTGTGATGTTGCAAATCACATTCGTGACGCTCGTCGCTTTCGATATGACATGTCGGGCGGCGGCTCCGGATGCCGTTACTGGGTGTAAGCGCTTTACAAATCTTTCTTTGGGATCAAGGAGGCTTGTTGACATCAATAGGTGGGTGATGGTGTGTGACATGGTCGAACACGGCTGGATTACATCGACATCAACCACCATTTTATGGCCTGACCTCCATTTTCGTTATCACACAACTCAAGATCGCAAACCGCTGCCGATGGTCCAAGGCACATTTCACTGACACTCTTCTACTAAACAAAGTTCTTGACTGTTCCTCTGTTATGTTTAGACGAGACGAGAAGCCACGCTCTCTCCAAGTCGAGGGTTTCAGCGGGTATCTCCTCTCCCCCAGTTCAGCTCAATTTTGCGCGCTCTCGCTCAAATACTCCTTCAGCCAATTGGTCGGTAAAGGCGGTAATGGGGGAAGAGTCACAGGTGCAGAGCCGCGGATACCTGCACCATATAAGTCTTTGTAGTAGTTGGTTTTTGAACTAGATTATGAGATTAGTGTAGAACCAGCGAAACGGGGAATCATCCCATACAATGAGAATCGCTGATCGTTCCTCCAAGCTTTCATGATCAAACCGCATTGATAATCTTCGTCCGGCGAAATCTGGACGTTAAGCACAACCTGCCAGCTTGCTGGTTCGGGCTTAATGAGATGGGAGCACCTCTCGAACATCCGAGGGAAGAAACCGGCGGTAGCCCAGTCCAGAACACATGGCGGCTGGCCTTGAGCCCAGAGAATGTTTCGGAGGAAAAGGTCGAGATGGCATAAGACCAAGTCGGAATCCGCGAGCGTTACCCTCGAACCTGGATCCAGAAGTATCTCATTCAACCACGCTTCGAGTTCCTGAATTGTTCTGAAAGTCGGGGGTTCGGATTCACCAAAGAGGAGGGCCGTCAACGGACCGCCTCCGAGTGAACCTGGGTTTGATGATTTTATGCTTGCAAAATGGTCCAGGATGGCCGACAACTGGTGGATCTCAGAGTCGTCTGATAGGGACTCTCACTATCCCTTCCATAAACTCCATCACCAGGTATCCTCGACGATCAGAATCGTCCTGGAAGAAAGTAAACACTTTCGGGACACGCACAATCTCTCGATCGAGAAGATCATATGCTCTCTGCTGGTTCGCTGCCTCATCCTGGGTGAGACCGACGCCATACTTGACGGCAACCGTTGCACTGAGCTGGAGAACTCTGTTGCCGTACGGCGCTCCACCAATGTGCTCCTCTGGGAAAGCGGCGGTCGAACAGCGCTTGATTATTTCAGCTTGAGAGAAGGGACATCCTTCCATGGGATGGGGTATTTCAAGAACTTCTCTCGAGAAGCCTGAAGACAAATGATAGTGCCGGTTGGCTGCGCTGCTGCTTGATGAGGTAAACAAAAGATGATGTCGTTAAACATTCGGAAGGGCCATGTGCCGACCTCGGCCACTACTTCACCGAGGAGATGCACAAAGAGACACGATTTGGGAAGTCAAAATATGCTTTAAGCGGTCTTGACCCTTGACGTCGGTACCTGACGGCCCCTAAACCATTTTTCTCCGTTGCTCCCTAGCGTTTGCCCTAGAAACGCAGTCGCAATTGGAGTAAAGGAGAAACGGTCGATGAGCACCACCAGCCGCAGGTTCCATACTTCCAGTACTCCTCTATCACCGCACTCGTGATTCGAAGCTCGAAATCTCTGTGAGGGAGACCGAGTCCCTCTGATGTCTTCGGACTGGTGGTCGCAAGGAACCTCCCCGACCCTCACTGTTTCCGCCGTTATCGTCCTACTATCTACGCTGCTCGTGGCCAGAATGCTCTTCTCATCCAAAAACCACTTCCCCGTCGAGGGGCTCACGGCCGTGGTGACCGGCGGCTCCCAAGGTCTCGGACTGGCCCTCGCGCAAGAACTTTCCGCCCGGGGCGCCAACGTGGTCATCGTCGCGCAGAACGTCCCGAAACTCGAGACCGCCGTTACGACCCTCGCGAGCCGTGCCAAAAACGCCCAGTCCCAACGCTTCCTCTCTCTCTCCTTTGACCTCCGCGCCCCGGAGTCGGCACCCAGGATCTTGGAGGAAATCAAGACATGGAATAACGGGGAGGCGCCGGACTTGATCTTCTGCTGCGCGGGGCACTGTTATCCGTCGTTCTTCGCGGATGCGCCTGTGGATAAACTGAAGGACCAGATGGACACGGTCTACTGGAGCAGCGCGTGGATGGCCCATGCCGCCATCAACATGTGGAAGACACCCTCTCCAAAAGCCTCGGGTGATGAGAACAAGTCGGCATCTCGACCGAAACCGACCAGACACCTGATATTCACATGCTCTGTTCTGGCCTTGTTCCCTGTGGCAGGCTACAGCCCATATTCGCCCTGCAAAGCGGCCATGCGGGCCTTGGCCGATTCGTTGAACCAAGAGGTCGAGGTATACAACGGATCTCGCCAGAACCCGTCCTCAGGCCCTGTCCCGGACGCTGACATGAAAGTCCACATCGTGTTTCCCATGGGCATCATCTCGCCAGGGTTGGACAACGAGAACAAGATCAAACCGACTTTGACAATGCAACTCGAAAAGGACGACAAGCCGCAGCAGCCGGAGGAGATTGCCAAGATCGTGCTTCGACGTCTGGGGGCAGGCGACTTTATGATCAGCACAATGTTCCTGGGCCACTTGATGAGAGGATGTGGAATGAGCGGAAGCGTTCGCTCGAACGTGATGGACATTTTTTGGAACTGGCTGGGCTCTATCGTCATTATTTTTGTGGCTCCAGATTTCATCTCAAAGTGCAAAAATTGGGGCAAGCAGAAGGGCATGAATGCCACCACACATGCCAGTTGAGATCCGTGTGAGCTCACTCCGAGATAATAGTCGTCTCCTCAGAAACTGTATCCATCTCCAACATGGCGCTTAGGGAAGACAAGAGTTCCTCCTCCGCCCAGTCACGATCATAATCTTCACCCAGAAACATCCTCGACGCCCGCTCCGCACTCCTCAACTCTTCAACTTCATCCTCCTTCAACGCCGAACATGTCGCCACTAGATCCTCCCCCTGTTGCGCGAGACGAGCTATTACGACCGCTCGCTCAACAATCTCTGCTGGAACACCGTTCATCGCGGCACACTGGACACCGTAGGACAGGTCGCTACGGCCCGGGCGAAGATTAAATAGATAGGTAACCTGACTATTATCTTCGTCGGCACAAGGGCTGTCTCTTTCATCGACCTGCACCTCCATGTGCGCAAAGGCGAGGTTCCCTGCTTCGCGGAAGAGGCCCAACTCGAATATTTCGTGAAAATGTGTAGCAACGAGCGTCTTTGGGGCTTGAGCTCCCAGAGAAAGCAGGTGATGGACCACTCCCGCAGCGAGCCCGGCCCCGTCAAATGTGTCGGTACCTTTGCCGAATTCGTCAATCACCAGCAAGCTCCGTCGAGTGCATGAATTCAAAGCCATGGCAATCTGTTGCATCTCGATCATGAAGGCTGATTGGACTTTGGACACGGTTTCCCGGGCGCTGACGCGCGTGAGGATCTTGTCGGTGATGCCAATGGTGGCCGAGTCGGCGGGGAGGAATGATCCCATCTGGGCCATGTATACTGCCAGGGCAACCTGCTTCTGATAGACCGATTTGCCCGAATAATTAGGGCCCGTCAACAAGATCATGCTGGGTCCTGTCGGATCAGTGTCTCTGTTTCCGTCTCCGTCTCCTCCAACTATCAAGGCGTCGTTCGCCACAAAGGACGGTACCGTCATCTCTTGGAGCAGATGTCTCCCTCCCTTGATCTCGATGATGTTGTCCTCTGTGATTCTGGGCCGACTCAGGCGGTATTGATGGGCGACGTGGGCAAAGGCCAACAAACAGTCTAATTCACCACAGATGTCAGATGCCGCCGTGAGCAGATCTTCGTCCCGAAGCACATTCTGTGCCAAGTCGTAGGCGATTTCGACCTCCATGTCGCAAATCGCGGAGTACAGGTCGCCGAGTTCGTGGTCCATTTCGTGCATCGTCGCGTCCTTGTAGTACATCTGGGCCGGTGTGGTGAACATCAGCTGCCACGCCAATTCTGGCCCGGCATAGACCGCCTGGCCCGTGGCCGGATCCCGTGGGACGGTGAGGTGGAAGCCAAGATGTGGCAGATAGGTGACGTTCAATTCTAGGTTGAGGTGTGGAGGGATCGTCAGCTGGATGTCGCGAGCCTTTTCGTTGAGGATGTCCTCCATCCCATCATAGACATCTTTTAACTGGTCCAGGTCTTGGTTCACGCCCCGGTTCACGACGGTGCGATGCTGGTCGATAGATGATTCGCGGTCAACAATCTCGTTCACCATGCGACCGATCCTCTTGAGGCTATGTCGGTCGAGCACCTCCGCGGCTCGGACGCACAACGGGAGGTGCTCCGCGCCCAGAGCCTCTCTGAGAGTCTCTGCAATATCGATTGCGTGGTAGCAGAAGCCCAGAAGTGATTCCCAGACTCCACCTTTGAACGCGTTCTGCTTGGCCTTTCCGCTGTCGATCCCCTTGTGAAGAAGAGTGACGGTATTCCGCATGTTTTTGACCCGACCTAGGCTCTTGCTGAGTTGGTCACGCACCGATTGGTTCTCCGGCCGGACAAACACTGAGATAAAATCGAGGCGAGTATTGATCAGCTCGATATCCTGAGACGGCCTCAGGAATGCTTGTCGTAGGCGTGCTTTTCCTTGGGGGGTTCGCGTATGGTGCTGGAAGAGGCCGTAGATCGACAGCGATTCTTTCCCCCCTGAGGCCCCAGGCCCTTGGTTGAACGCGTTTGGATGAGACTCTGGCTGGATGATTTGCAACGAGACAAGAGTGTCCCTATTCACGAGCATGGTCCCGTGGAGGCTGAACATTTCGAGTCGGGCAATGCGGAAGGTCTGGTTGGCATCTGGATCTCCTGGCAGGTAGGCAGCTGATCGTCTCCGCTGCAACCAGGAGATGATGGCACCAGCACAGCCGATGCTGATTTTGTTGTCGAGATTTAGTCGCGACGAGATTTGCATCAGCTTGCCCCGTCGCTTCGTGAGACCGAGATCTTCTGGCTCCAGCCTTTCGTCGTATGCCATGGAGTCGCCTGGGACGAGAAACTGGGTGGTAGGATTCTCTGCGAAAGAACAAAGTCCGATCAGCTTATTCAGAGCATCCTCGTAGCTAAAGTCTGGTGTCGGTCGTATCTCGATTTGATACGGGAGAGGCTGCCGATCGTCGTCTGCTTTGGGTCAGCTGTTGCTCCATGGTGTGAATGATACCGCCTTACCACTGTCCACCAGAGACACGGTTTGGCACAGTCCAGCATCGGCAAAGTCTGAAGTAGATTCCGCGCGAAGAGAGAGGATCACTGTTGTCGGCTGGAGGTCCAATTTCACTGCCATAGATCTGAGATCGTGGTCAACATGAAGGTCACACAGCTCATACATGTATCAACGACATCTGCGGCACCACCGACAACCTCTTCCATGCACAAAAGTCTCTCCTCGCCCGCAATGTAGTACGCACAACCTATTTCGCCTTTGCCCTTGATGTCGACAGCCATGATCACCTGCTCCAGAAAGTCCTCGTCTCGGGACACGGAGATGGACCTCTCTTCGCGTCGAGGGGAGAGATTGGAATGGATAGGGGTTGGACGATCATTCGAGGCAGCCTGGGATGGAGTCGCAGATGACGTTCTTCGATTTCGCCAATATCGAGAGGACTGGGTGCCCTGTTGGGCGGAGTGAGACCGAGATGTACCTCCGTTCGATCGTCCTCTAGCCCGGCCACGGCGGCTACTCCCTCGACGAGACGAGGAGCACCCCGCTGCTGATGACGGCATTCTGCAAGGATTAGTAGATGCACTCATATAATGGAAGAGAATGGCAAACTTTGAAGGGAATGGGATATGTATGAAGTGGCGAAGGCGTAAACGAGTCAGTGATGCTCCATTTTCGACTCAAGTTGAAACTCGGCAGGCAACAACCTTGCACCACGGTAAATTCAGTCATGTGCATTCGTATCCTCGTCTCTATACATGTGTTGTGTCTATCTGGTTAGAGGCATATAGATAAGCTGATAATCAACTCTGTACCTCAGCATCTTGCCAACCTCCTACGATGCGGCCACCTTCTGATCTCTTGACTCGACACCACAGCCCGACTTCCTTGTCAGTGATGAACTGCCATAACACCAAAGGCCAGCTTTTGTGACACGGCAAAGGCTCATAAAACTCTCTTGCAATTTCATAGACCTTGGGTAATCGAGTCCAAGGGATAGCTGGAAAGTCGTGGTGTTCGTTATGATACCCAACATTGTAAGTGAGAACGTTAAGCGGGCCGTAGTAAGAATATGTTTCAGGAATAGGTACATCTTTCGGAACCTTTCCGAGGTGCAGAGTGGATTTGGCAAAGACATAATGCTCTGAGATGAAGTGTGCAGCGCACGGGTGTAGCGAACCAGCCAGGAATGAACTCATGATCAAATAGGACAAGGCTTTCCAGCCCAGATACCGAACGATCAGAATATCGAAGACAACTTGAGCAGCGATGTTGCAATAGTGAATTGGTCCAAAGGGAATCTTGTACACCATCATCGGACGAATGGCGTAAAACAAGAGTTGAAAGGTGCAAAAGAATGCCTTGCCGAAGACTGAGTCCAAGAAGATTGCTTCAAGTGCTGTAGGGAGATCTGTGTCGACACCATCCACGCCCAACGACTTGTGATGGGTCAAATGGTACTGTCGAAACCCAGCCGAGTATGGTACCCCGATGGGAAGATTTGCGAAGATGGCCAGAAGTCTGTTGTAAATGGCGGTCCGGAACGCCAAATTATGGCTGATCTCGTGGATAGCGAGGAAGAGATTCTGGTTCGCAGTGGCGCCAACTATGTATGCCGTGAGGAAGAACCGCCATGAGAAAACAGGGGAGTCCTTGAGGAGATAGGCGCAGAAAACTTGTAACAAAACGACGAAGAGGACGACATATTTTGTCAGGGGTTCTGGACCGCACAACTGCAAGATTTCCTTGTGTGATTTTATGATAGCTTGCCGCCGTGTGCGGTGAGGTTCCTCCGTGTATGTCCAAAAGAATTTGTCTTCAGCAGATCGTTTTTTGTGGTCCAGCTCTTCCGATGTACCTCTGTCTTCGGCCTTGGTGGTGGTAGAGTAGTTTGCTCGACGGGCGCGACTTATGGACTGTGTCTCCGTCGCGGTAGACATCCTGATGCTCGTTCAGTTTGAGCTGCGCGGGTCTCAAAAAGATTGACAGGCGGTTGTCAGGAGTTGCAGACGAGATCGCAGGGAAGCAGATCCAAAGTCAAGGTCAGTCCGAGTACTTGTACCAAGTAGATGGGGTGACACCCCTCGACTAGACTATATATGGTTAGTCTAAAGTCACCATTAAAACAGCAATCAGTCGGTACGGATAATGCACTATGTTACCGTCTGTTGTACTGTAGATCCTAGGTACTAATCGAACACGTTTCTAACTTTCTCAGCTGAAGACATTGGGATTTGTATTCCTTGGTCTGGTCTATGGTAGTCGGTGCACATACGGGTGACCCTGACAGCGATACCGATACATCGTCAAAGTCTCGTCTCAGATCTATCTAGGTCGAGGATGTTTCGTGCTTGACTGGACCACCCTTGTAGCCTGAAGGGTTCTCTTTCTCCCGCAATCGCACTTCGAGAGGCCCTGTCACCTTCTCCTGGGCTGAACCTGCAGCCAGCGAGCCAGGCAACTTGCCTTCCGTTGTCTTGATTGGAGCAAAACCAATCACCTTCATCTTTACGCCAATTCAGTACAAGCCAATCGTGATGTCACCACGAATGCGGGCTGTCAAATGGACCTCTGCCTCTAGATCCAGTTTGAGGCCAACCATTAGAGCAGCGGGCTTGAGGTGACCATTCTCGTCTGTTGCACCCTTCAGCAGACCCCCTGTGAAGATGGAGTCAGCCACCAGCAGGCACACAAGGTACAGTGGAGAAGAGAGTGCAGGGGAAACATACCCGCAGGTTGCGACAGGTAATCCGAAGTTGGTGGCAATGGTAACGCTGATGACCCGTTGGCGCCGTTGGTCGTAGCCAGCGCCTTTCGCTGGCCTGTGGCTTGTCCATCTTCGCTGCCGCTGGAATACCCCTTGTCCGCGGCGTTGCCGTATGTAGCCCTGGAACGCAGTCAGAGTTTTGATTCTGCAAGAGACCTCGAGGAGATTTCATACGTAGCAGACATTTTGACGATATTGGAGGAAAGATGAATAAGGATAGGCTTGAGGTCAAAAGAGATCCGGGAAGATGGTGTTCAAAATTAGGCAATATTAGGACAACTGAATGCTTTTTCGGGTCGTACCAGACGACTAAGCAATCTATGAATTGGTGTCGTTGGTTTTGTTGTTGTTGTGATGAAGATGAAAATTTATCTCAGTAGGAGCGACATCCGATCATCTTTTATGTTCTCGTCGAAGCTGAGATATCGCCGCTCTGAAACGGCATCGACATACGGAGAACAGAGAAGCGAGCGACAGAGTCACGGAGTAAGGGGTTTCTGTTTCTGGAGTGTCCCATCACACATTTCAGAGGTGTCCCACTCCATCATTTGCAGAGAGACGAGAAGCACCTTGACTGGAGGACTGTGGCCTGATGAGTTCGTGAGCATTTCTACCGAGATGGGTGTGGACCGGAAACGGAGAGAGTCGCAAGGCTGAGACAGTTCAACTTCTTCTGGGACCTGAAACTCCCCCAATCCTTCATGTTCCAGACCGAATCCCCCAGATCTCGCCACCTTATGGTGTCAGAATAAGTGTGGCCTGACTGGGGGTTGGGATCCATTCAATGCACGACAGCAAATACAATAACAGGACAGTCATCTCCCAGCCATGGCGACTTCACTACAAGGACAAGGACCAAGTTGGCGGTCAAGGGCAGACCACCCAGCCAGCCTCTCGCGAAGCATAAAGGGGCGCCTCGATCCCCCCTATACTTGTATCCGCTCGCTACAGTACTTGTATCCCACAGATCGGGAAGAATCAGCCCACATCGCAACTCTGAAACCAGGACATACAGTCTCACGTGTCCGTTCGAGCGAGCATGGTCCTCTCCTTGGTCGTTGCGCTGATAACGTGCCCGGCAATGCTGGCGACGGCCGAAGCGATCCGTCAGGGCCAGTCAAAGGATAGACGAGAAGAACATCGCGCGCGACGATGCAATCTGGTCGCGACATGCGTCAAGGCGTCGAGCAGAAGTCAAGAGATTGATGGTCGCCGGATCGTCTTGCGAAATCACAAAGTGGGTGAGAACATTACTCTCCCTCTTCTCCCTCTCGTTGCACAGAGAGGAATTCCATGATTGAATTAAGTCTGCATGGTCACTAACGCAGATGACCGTCCAGCTCTACGTCGACAAGCCCGTCGCAAAGTCAAAAGATCTCTACAGTGACTATGATCATGACGACAACGACCAGCAATATGAACAAAGTGCAGATACATCGCCCTTCGGACATCCTTTCGCTGGATATTTCCTCCCATACCCCGATGCAAAGTATGAAGGCCTCGTATCGACAATCTCCGATGACCCGCCCATGTTGAACTGGATCTACATCGACAAGCACACGTACGAAGTCAAGTATGGTCTGCGGGTGGACGCTCAACCCAATATGACAGGGCCGTGGGACTGCACAAGGCAAGATCGCCGAATGACTCTGGACGGATGGGAAGGTTTTGTGGTCGTGGAGGAAGAGCGCGGGTTATGGGCGCTATATTTCGATTGCGACGATGACGGCCTGCGAGCAAAGGTTCCTGAGGGAACCAGAATATTGGAAGTCGAGTTGTGGAGGAGGGAGAAGAGATGGAAAAAGGACCTGGTTCTGCGACAGCAAGAACAGGGAAGACAAACCACTTGAGATAGTCAATAGAGGCACAAAGAATACTATCATATACCAAGGCTGACTGGAACCCAGAAAGTCCGTTCCTAGCGTTTTGCATACGCTGCAGGTCGAAGCACATAGTCGCAGATCTCTTTGTAGACTTGAAATGCACAAAGTTGAAACATTCCGGAATATTTTTCTAGGACTGGCGATGGAAGCGCTAGCACTGCTTTACGAGTTGCACACTCGTAGGAACGTGAAGCCGTCACAGTCAGAGGTGTGAGACTGTTAAACAATGTAAGAGATAATACACGTCGGTTGTTGGTCAACTCGGATGCGACATTCAGTGCTTCATGACCGAATATCATGCGCCGAGTGGCCTGATAGGGAGCAATCGGCCATGAAGAGATAATTACGAGTAGGATATCAGGACCCACAGCACGCCTCAGAAGCTGATGTTGTGCTCGGCAGCACACACTTTGGGCTTTCCATTATAACGTGCGATGGCTCGTAGAGACGGTGTTTAGCCACATCCAGCCAAGGACGATCGATATAATGCCAAAGAAGCGTTCCTCGTCTTGTCCTGTAAGGGATTCCAATCCATGGCACCTCAACCTCCCAAGAATTGCGCCGCTTTCGACTTCGGAGAAGACGAGTAAGTTTCAAAGAATGAGACAAACGAGAGCAAGCAATGGCGAATTGGCCAGACTGACTTGTTCGAACGCAGGGTCGTGACGAATCCACAAAGAACAGATAGTCCTGTCAATAACCTGCTCACGCACTTGGAGAGTGTCGACAAGATTCTTGTGTATGCGGTTGGCGCTTTCGACCGGTATTATATGTGTTGGCAGGACAGACAGGGAGGATATAGACAAGGTGAGTCGAGCAGCCACTCTGTTCGTTAGTTGAAGCCACTGTTGACTCGACCTTTCTTCTTTGAAGAGAGACAAGGGCTACCACGCGCGCTCGACGAATGGCTTTTCCCTCCCGACGGGTCAAGCAGAGATCTCGAGAGCCTCCAAGTCTCCCTTGGCCACAACGATGAATTCTTCGCTTTCGACCGGTACGAGCGGATATCGCATATCAACACCAACCTGCGAGAACACGTGGGCAGCAACCACCGGAGATCCCTCACACAAGTTGCGGTACCCACGGGCCAAACAACGACGATCCGACAAAAGGCACATACTTTCTCGCATTCGGATGATGTCCAAGAGCAAGATCAACAGCGTCCGTCAATACAACGGCGGCAGGTGCCCAAGCAGAGACTCAGACCACGGAGCATTGCAATAGCCGGGGTGATATCACTGAGAGCGTCGCATGAGAGGAATAAAAGCCAGGAGGACCGATCTTTGAAAGCGTGGCCCGGCATCTCAGGTGGGAGTCAGCGCCAAACTGCCACAAACCCCTCGTATTCAGACGCCGCAGTCCAGACGGATCCAATGCAGGACACGCATCAAGATGATCAGGAGGCTTCATCCCACGATTTCACAACGAAACTGAGGAGGTCTCATGTGTCTTCCATCTCGTCGCTGTCTTCCCTGCTTTCGGACAGTTCTTCAGCAACGGTAGATTCGGCCACTTCCCTCTCGAGTACCCATTCCTTATGCCCAAGGAACCCAGTCAGTATGGGGGTTATGAATCGATACTTCAGAGAAAGTCAGTACCGGCTTGGAGATGCTCTCATTAGAGCGCCCTCTGTCGGAATCGGTGCTCGCTAAGTGAGTGTCAAAAGGAACGGCAGCACCAGTGTTGATCATCAAGCATCGAAGAGAAATATTCTCGTCCTCAGCCTCGAAGTAGCATGGTCCATTCATACAGGACTCTTTCCCTCAAAGAGTTGGGGTGATGCACCCCGGTCACCAGTGAAGAACACTGTCTGATGCTCTCTTCGAAGAATGCAGCAGGCCAGCTCCGCTTGCGACATCTGTGTTAGCTTCTCAACGGTTTTGGGAGCGAAAATTGGGACACTGAGAGAAAATCTCTATAGCTTGGTCGGGTCTTTTGGATCTCTGGAGCTCCCGTGATGAGCAACTGATCCTTGAGATCTAACCTCCCAGAGGACCCCCCCTCTCATCTTGGACTTCTTACACATTCCTCCACCAGGATACATAGAATGTGGCCTCATTCCCCGTACCGACCGATATTTTCGCGAGGTGTCGAGAGCTGGCTAGGAAGAATTGAGGAATCCGGCGTCTCAGTCGAGTGACGAATCATGTGGTTTCTTGCGAAAGCATGAAATGGGATCTGGCACGAGGCGATGAATGGATGGCCAACAGGACCGACAGATCGCGCTGGGATGAGTTTGAGGCAGTGTTCCCCGACACGATGGCACCACCTTCAAAGTCTCCTATTTCTTTCAAGCTGGGTATACCTTGGGAAAGGGTTGCTTTCTCTACATGTCTCTCTCATAAGCTCTGAAACCCCGAATGCTACCAGGGCAATGGATAGATCCTTGTGTATGTCGGTCAGCGCCAGCCCACGTGGAAACGACACCAAAAGAAACCAGCCAGCTCAGACGCCTTCGCTATGAAGAATCAAGAGCCGCATCAAAGCAAACGCAAGCGGACCTACTTCACAATTAAGCTGGCACTGGGCACGAGCTTCAGGTCCTTCAGACTCTCCCCAAAGTACTCCCGATCGAAAACCTTTCTTGGAAAGTTCTGCGTAAAACTTTCGACATCCCGACCAATTTCTTCGGCTACAGCAGTCGCCACCTCGAACAAGGTTGTTCCGACAGGGAAAGTTTTCATAATATTGCCCGACGATGTCTGTAGCCTTAACCGTGTCTCTGTATACTCCGACGCTGGTTTGGAAGCTGCTGGAGCCGGTGCTGGAGGAGGTGCTGCAGCCGCAACTGGAGGTGCTGCGCCACTTCGCTCAGCCTTTTCCCGCTCTGCTCGCAGTCGTCGTTCTTCTTTATCGGCCGCGATCTTGGCTTGAATTCGCTTCTTCGCTTCAATGTCCTCTTGCCTCTCTCGCCTCTTCTTCTCGGCCTCCTTGATCTGCTCCTTGACCTTGAGTTGCTCTTTGAGATCTTCGGTTTCCTTGGTCTTCTTGCGGTTGATTTGTTCATTGCGCTTCTTGTCGACCTTGTCTTGTTCGGACTGGACTGCTCGCTTAGCGGCCAGTTTCTCCCTCAACTCTGCTAGCTTGGCCTGTTTCTCTTCCTCAGTCAAGGGGGCAATCTCTTCGGTCGACTCTGCGAAATCGGTATGGCCAGACTTTGATGCGTGGAATTCTGCCTGGGCGGTCCCTCTAAACTTTTTCCCGCATTCGTTACACACAAGGCTCCGTGCCTCCTCGGCTGCCTCTGCAGCTTTTGCCTCTGCAGCTGCGTCCTTCTCTGCCTTGAGATCTTCTAGAGACTTTGAGGAGTTTGCGTCGAGCCAGTCGATTGCGTCTGCCACTATTACATCGTTTGAGCAGAGTGAAGGAAGAGAAGATTTGGGATACTTACAACTACCTGTGCTCTTCAGTGCCATTTCACCGCGTTCCTTGTCAAAGCCCATCATGACCAGTTGATCCAGATCAGACGTTGCCATCGTTGCTTTCAGCGTAGTCTGGGAGGTTCCTGTAATGAGTGATTTGATCGGGTCAGGCTGGTGTGAACGAGGATGGAGGGGGGCGTAGTCTAATCTGGAAGTGGAGGATCTTTGAACAGGCGAGGAGGCTGTAGAAATAGCGGTTTAAGTGTGAGGGTGACAGTGAAGGTGAAGGCAGGGTAGAGAGGATATGGGAACACTGTTAGCGATTGTCTAGGTACACAGGCAGCAAACACTCAAAATGTTCGATAGCGACGATGAGGGTGCGGGGAGTTGGCGTGATTTTACGGAGGAATAAGTTAAAGTGGTTGATGCGGGACACTTTTCGGGCTGGGCGCGGGTGGATTGGCAGGCTCGCGAGTCGCGAGCCGCGAGCCTAGGTACAATTACTGAGCAGCCGCTTATACCCTATGAGGGCATCTTGGGTCCTTGGGTACGGTAGGGAGGCCTTGAACAGTTAGCGGGCTTTTGCCATCAGCGTCATCACACACTCCAAGTGCGTCCTTGGAGGCGCCATCCCCCCCCATTAATATCTGCAGCTCCTTAGTGACCCAGTCGCCAGATCCCCTGAGTCGGATTTGTCGCCTTAATCACCAGTAATCGACTTCCAGCCACTTCAAATCCCGAGTAACTGCGCATCACTCTGGTCGTCATAGGCCTTCTCCTTCCTTTACTTCGCTAAACTACTAAGTCTGCTGAACAATCCACTCAACATCTCTATCAATTTGACACGGTCTCAGCAATCCTTTACTTTAGCATCCTTCCATCGTCGTCTCTAAGAACCTCCAATTGCTATTCTCCTCGCCGTTGGACTGCGCATTGTTCCTGTCGACAATCTACCATGTCTGTAGATCTCCTGCCAGCCGAACTGGGCTTCCGACGTCAGTCCTCATACTTCTCTAACTCGACACATACTCACGCTTTGAGCAGGCCCTTTCAATCGCGAAGTTAGCGAGACTCTCAAACTTACAAATCCCAATAGCCAACCCGTGGCCTTCAAGGTACAAGATTTCTCAATCGGTCAACTGATTATCCGCATGCTAACAGATGGCAAATAGGTCAAGACTACAGCCCCTAAGCAGTGAGTTTTGCGCCCGAGAAAGAGAAAGGAATAAAAGACACTCGTCTAACAGCGGATCAGATACTGTGTGCGACCGAACTCGGGCATCATCGCGCCCAATGAATCCGTCGACGTTCAAGGTGTGATCTGACACTCTGGTATATACTCCCCGGCGCTGACCATGGTAGTTCTCCTACAAGCAATGAAAGAAGAACCTCCACTCGACGCCAAATGCCGGGATAAGTTCCTCGTCCAGTCCGTCCTCACTTCGGCCGATCAAGACCCCAACGTCACAACCCTTTGGCAGACGGTCGAGAAGACAGCCAAAGGATCCATCCAGGAGAGGAAGATCCGTGTCAACTTCCTTCCTGCTACTGCAGCTACCCCCAACGGCGTATCCTCTCATGAAGAGCAACCACCAGCCTATTCTTCCCCGACCCCGCAATTCGGCTCACCCGCTCAGCAAACCTCAACCAACGCGTCAGCCGCCGAGTCCGTCAAGTCATCTGTGACAAATGTTGCGGAAGCGACTGGCCTCACCGCTGCCGCTTCAACCGTTGCCAGCGCTGTTCCCACATCAAACGAGGAGCTGAAGGAACAGTTAGCAGCCGCAAAGGCTCAGATTCAAAAACTGACAAGCCAACTGAAAGACCCCCAAGTCCGGCAGCGAAAGGCACAGGAGGCGAATGAGAAAGTCCAGGCAGTGGTACAGCAAAGCCACGAATCAGGGGTTCCGTTGCAACTCGTGGCTGCCCTATGTCTAATCAGCTTCCTCATCGCTTACCTCTTCTTCTAGAGGGATTCAATCTACCTTGGATATTGGGATTGTTTGAAACAGTCAAGATATACCCTTTTGTGGCAGCGGATCGCGCCACGCCGAGACGAAATGAGACGAGGAGCAGGTACCAGTGGACTGTGTGGAGTTGCGCGCAATATCTGGGTTGTGCAGGATGTGGAAGTTTTTGGTGGTTTGCTTCCCGCAAGTTTTGAACTGGTCGGCAAGTGAGGTCGAGGATTGAAACCCCGAGAAAATATGTCTCACGGAGACGATTAATGGAGCCAGGAGCATACTGTGCGGAGGTGTGTATGGATTTTCCAATGTAAGCCTAGAACAAACATGGGCAGATCAACATTTCAGGTTCGAAGAGCAAAACAAGAACGAGTACAGTTCTGCCAATGTCTGTCCTTCCTTCTGCCGAACTTGCAACTCAGGCGTTTATTTCTATTCCAACATGTCTTTGGTTGGTGAAGCGGCAAGCCTTGACCGCAGACGCCTCTGGTTGACCTCGACATTCAACAAGCGGAAGAATGAAATGGGGCTGTTTACAGTTCGAACATTCCACCCCTATCTCTGAGGAAAAGAAGACTATTCGACTCCTAACTATGCACCTTTCTATTTCAAAGGACCCCGTCTTAAAGGCGATTTTGGGAGATTTCAACCCATCCAATATACTAGAAGGGTGTAATCGGAAACAAATCATACCTATGCTTTTACCAAGAATTGTGATGTGACATGTCTGAGCCTGTAGGCCGCTGAGTCCGCCTAATTCCTTCATCTGTTCTCGGCAGTGGTGAAAAATTGCCATAGAGGACCGGTTGGCATATACCGGCATATCCAGCTTTGCTAACATTTACTTATCTAGACAGTCAAAGACAGCGTATCCGTCGAGTCGCAAATAAGTCAGTGCCGGCATGCTGAACGTCAACCTCTTCAAGCACCAGCCGTTGTTCACCTACGGATTTGACCCACTCGGAGATATGGGCGTCGAATATGGAGGCAAACGAGGCTGGGATACCTGTTCGTTCGCATCACTGACGGGACTGGATCATGGATCCTTGCAGATGGCACCTTGATTGAATGTGCTGGCCAGGGTATCATCCTCTAGTGCAAGCGGGTGGTCTTCATCCAGACTGAAAGGGCAAAATGGAAGTATATATCCCTTGGATGTGCGATAACAATAGCTAGTAGTGGTACTTATGCACAAGTACCTATGGTCCTCAGGAAATCGAAAAGAGTAAAATGCCAAGTCTGACTTGAAAGTTGGAACCCCGTTCCCCAGCCTTGCTGGTAAAACTCCGGTTGCGGGCGACTACAGAAGAGAACAACTCAAGCCTGGAGTTTTAGCTCTCTACCTCAACCTCCGCACCGACCTCGAACCGCCCTCGCTCAGACAATCTCCCTTTTACCTTCTTGCCAGACCTCATTCTCCCACCTGCGTCAGTCACCGCAATCTCTCTCTCTCTCTCTGGAGATAGACCGCAACCATGTCGACCGAAATGGACGTCGACACCGCCCCTCCAGCCGATCCCAAAAACGGGACCTCGTCCCCTACTGACACCAAAAAGTCGTCTGCCAATGCAGGCGCCGAGGCTCGCACGGCTCAGAACGCCGTCGCCGTCCGCAGTATCGAGGGTTGGATCGTGATCGCGACCAACATCCACGAGGAAGCCACTGAGGAGGACATCCACGACCTCTTTGCCGAGTACGGGGACATCAAGAACTTGCATTTGAATTTGGATCGGAGGACGGGGTACGTCAAGGTACGTGAAAAAATAAAGCACTCTCTCTTGGATTTAGAACGTCCTCCCCGCGGCTGGACCCAGACAGAGAGGAAGGACCAAAGGGAGGGAGGAAGGAGGGAACAAGAGAGCAATGAACGGCCCATGCCCTAAGATGCGGAAACGTCAGAGAACAATGCGACTAACTCGAGCTCGATGTTTTGGTAGGGCTACGTCCTGATTGAATACCCTACCCAAGTCGAAGCGCAGGCCGCCATCAAGGCTCTAGACGGCGCAAAACTGCTCGACCAGACCATCTCTGTCGACTACGCCTTCGTCCGCCCGCCACCAAAGGATAAAGGAAGCCGTGCCAGCGGCGTTGCAACAAAGGGCCGTGGCGCCGGGGGCAGAGGCGGGAGGAGTCGAAGCCGCAGCAAGTCACGGAGTAGGAGCAAGAGCAAGAGCAGAAGCCGGAGTCGGAGCCGCGACCGCGACAGAGACAGGCGAAGGGATCCCCGTGACGAGGACAAAATGGACAGAGATTGAAAAAAAAAACGCAACGACGGCGAGGATCTGGATACTATGACGAGCTCCTTCCCTCGGTGACATTGAAACAAACACACCGTGTCTCCGCCTAAAGAACCGTACAACCACTGCCCGTGAGCAGTCAATTTCCCAGAACACAGCCTCTGGGTCTTTTAGTGGTGTTGCCCGACCACGCAGCCTCGGGTCACCATCTCAGACGATCTGTGCATGAGAGAAATCTGGCTCGCCATGTTATTACACCCGAGTAAAGCCCTCTCGAGTACAGCCTGGCCACCTGGTCACTGTCGATACATGATCGGCATCACAACATGTCCCTGTATAAGGTTGGTCCACCTACCCTCCGCTCTCTACACTGATTTTCCTGACTGGCCCGCTAGTTCTGGCGCTCAGTCGACGTGTTTGTCGTAAATACACTCGCTGACTCGCTCTTCTAGTCTAGCTCTGAAGGTGTAGAATTCGCATTGAATAAACGACTTGCTGTGAGGGGCCCGTCCGGCAGACACTCCGTGGCCAATCAATTCAGTCTAGTTTGTATTGAGACCAAGGGCATGCCCTGCTACATACACGGTAGCCCGCTGGTGCCGTTCTACCACCATAGTGTGTGGTTGACGACGCGACACAAACGGCAGCCTTCCCAGAACCCTTAGCGGTCCTTTTATGCTACCACGCTTCTCTTGCGTCCTCGAGAACTCATTAAAGCTCCAACAAGGTGTGATTAGTGCAAGATTACAGTGATGCCCAATGAAATTGAGGGAAAAGAAACAATCGCCTCCTCAATCACAAATTTCCCTTTTCTCCCTGTTCCCGAAATCGTAATTCTGGCAGTCTTTTCCAAGCTCACCTTGCTTTTCCTGAAGCAGTCCGGATCCCTCTCACAGGAGCGATTCTCCTTCTTTCTGAGTCTTCCTTTCTGGCGGCTCAATCGTCTCGACAATTTCCAGGTCGACGATAGAATGTAATCCCTTCTTTTGGAAGGGACACATGACCCTGGCACATGTGGAATACTTTGATATGTTGGGACAATGATGAGCGCAATAGCAATCATGTCGTCGGCATTCGGCACCCTGACCGCACGGCTTGCTGCGAGCTATATTTCGCAATGCAAGATAAATGCCATCCGAGATCTCCTCGTGGTCAAACGGGCACTGTGGGTCATTGCAATTGTTTCGCATGTGATGCTCATTGCATAACTGTCGATTGCTGACACGCAATTCGAAAGCTTCGTGGTCGGCCGGTGCCTCGCGCGGAAGTTTCAAGTCGATACGCTGCCCTAACTTGTTTAGAGCAATGGGAGAGCAAATAGGGCGTGCTAGAGGGTTTGGGTCGGGTTTCGTTAAAGCCTGCCGGGTGAATGCTGGCGATAAGTCGTTTGATTTGGTTGCAGCCGACGAAAGGGTTGCACTTGCAGGTGCGGGCGATGGAGACGATACTTGGGTTGGAGCTTTGGACTGCTCACTTTGAACCAGGTCATCCCACGACCCTTCAAAATGGCGAGGGGGTTGTCTTGGCGGTTGAGCACTGAAAGGACGTTCTTTATTTCGGTGGTTTTGTTTCTGTCTTCGAGGGTGGTTGTTGTTTGATCTCCTCCACAATACGGGCTCCTCCTCCACAACCTGCCCAACCTTCGTCTTTTCCTCTCCCCACGGAGCTGCGATGGCAGGGGGTGCGTAACTGTTAGTTTGTGCATTCTCCCAACTCTGTTCTGCAGCTTTCGATTGCCGAGAAGAATGTGAAGATGTGTCGAGCTTGACAACGCCAACCGAGCTCGAGCCATCCAAATTGTCCATATCGCCATTTACCTCGGCAGGTATTTTGGCGGGCATCTGTGAAATTGTGGCGGGTAGCATCTGCATATTCTCGATGGCCCGAGTAGTAGGGTTTTCGGTGTTGGAAGCGAAGGTCGCGGGGCGGGAGGGTGGAGGGAGTTGGACCAAAGGCTTCGGATTGCTCAGGGAGTCTGTCGAAAATCGCGTACTAGGGTCCTCATATCGCTGAGCCAGGAACGAGCCATTGGCAGTTCCGTTTGCAGTTCCGTTGACCGGAGAGTTGATCACGGAAAGGGAAGTGGTCTGTTGCGGCACAGCTTCAATGACGGAGAAGTCGACTGTATGGAACGGGAGGTTGTAGCCATTGTCTGTTCCCCCGCCCAACCGCACAAGCGACGTCTTTGACTTGGTGTAATCATCGTCGGCGTAAGTCTCGAGGACCTTGAAGTATTCCGATTGGCGATTCAACCCCAGGAAAAGATGTCTGCAATGGCAGTTTTCGAGATACAGTTCGTAGAAGTCTAGGTCTCGTTCAGTTAGCGGCCCCCAACCAGGATCTCTCTAGACTCACGCCTGATCTTTGCATCGACAGCATGGTGACCAGAACCGCAGTCAGAGATTGTAACACCCGGCTCCAGTTTGCTTGCATTTTGAATAAAAGTCCAGAGCTGATCCGGGTCGGGAGGTGAGCCCGCGGTAGAGAGGTCGTCGGCCAGCTTGCCCACGTCAATGAAAATGTGCACTACTACCGAGAGGAGGTCTGGCAGGTCATTCTTGTGCTGCTCGCGGGCAAATGCTTTGGCTTCAGCCACAAGAGTATCGATTGCTGACTTTGCCCCTTGTATTCCTGCTCTTACAAGGTTTGGACTGAAAAAGTGGTGATTCCCGTCGAAGAGGACCATGACATGTTGTACACTTGACTGCCATGACGGATCAGTAAAAGACGCCATGGGGGGGGTAGGACAACAGGGAGGGCCAACCAATCGAGATTCGGCTTCTGTCGCGCGCTTGTGCCAGTGTCTTCGAGATTCGGTTTGATCCTGAAGATCGTACCTGAGATTCTCGCATTCTGCTTCTGTGGCGCTAAGGAGTTGGACCAGTTTCTGAGGAAGTCAGCAACCACAATCCGGAGCAAAGGGTAGGAATTCATCAGCACTTCAAACACTGCTTCGATCTCGGTGGACTTTGCCCGATAATCCTTCTCCAACGACTTCCATGCAGCTGGAGGCTGCACAGGGCCGTCTGTCATGGCTAATGCAGGGCCAAGCGGACAGAAAAGGAGGCAACAACTGGAATGGGGATGGTTGGACAGAAGGACGAGACACTGGAAAATGAGAGATACTCGTCTGCTCCGAGTATCACGAGAGAATACGAAGGACAGGGACGCCAAAGATAGTGGCACAATTTAAAATTGAATTGTGTGACAGGCGATGGCAAAAGGACAAACACCCCCGCCAGGCATTGTTTCTCTTGTCGTTCTCCGCAGGCTTCTCGCTATTAGATAGGAGACAAGGGAAAGAGACAAACGACGGGCAGGCGCAGAGTGAAAAGGTAGTGGCATCAAAGGTTAAATGCAGCCGATTGCGTTGGGACTCTGACAAACATTCGGCTTCCCACAGATCAGGTACCTACATGTCCTTTTCTGGGGGGGCGGCTCTCAGGCGGCTCGCTTAGGCGCAGATCTGGCGGGGTTAGGGGGCGAAAAAGAAGGCTTTTGTTTCCCACTAAACCAGCAAGCAAGGTTTGAACGATAGATGCATGGGAACCAACAGTGATTTATTCATTATGTGCATTGTGGATAAAGAAAATACCTATCAAACGACAAACGACATTTGTGGTCTTACAAGAGTTCAGGAGAAATGTTTACCTTCTACCTAGGTAAGGCACATGTAGGGGTCCGGCCCGTCAGAGTATAAGGCATACAAGCAATTGGGTGTCCAGAAAAAAAAAGGAGTCCCTGCATTCATAAACCCCCGTGGAAGGCTCAAGGGGGCAAACAATGCAGGGTCTGAGGAGCATCCTTAGGTACCTAGGTACGGAGGGGAGGCCCCCACTGCATATCCATTTAGCACCTAGGTAGCACGTACGACTAGTTATTGGCACTGAGAGCCGAACAATCAAGAGCTTACACGGACCACTAGGCAGCACACCCAGGAGGAGACGTGCAGCAGGGTGGGGTACTCGGATAGGAAGCCGGTGCCAAACCAATCAGACTTTGTTGCCAAGCTCTCTTGACCTGATATGGAGAGGGCTAGTACACATGCTCGCACATCACGGGATCCACCTTCCGCCGCAACCGCCAAACTAGAACTTGACCTTCAAAAACTTCCGTCTTCACTCTTAGCCATGCGAGGGCGACGCCACCATGCAAGCACCACTATCCGATCCTTCAGTAGAGCACGTGTCCTTCGCTGTCGATCTCGGTCGCTCATACCCGCAGCGTCAATGTCCTTGCCCACGGAGAACGACACCTGAGTTCCATAGAGAAACCGTTGTTGAGAGCCAAGTGATGCTAAAGTATCGCAGTACCCGGTACATGGTCCACAAGTCGAGGAGACTGAGATCATAACAGTGAGTGCCTCATCGTTGTTTCGCACTTTGTTACGTGGTTAGTCAAGTCAGTCGGTGAACCTGTCCTGACTTTGAGAGGAGCGAGTAACGTCTGGGACTGAGTGATCTGTGGAAGTTAGCTGACCCTTCTTATTTGGCTGCAATACCTGTGCCTGATGGAACTGCCCGTCTTGTACGTTGGCCCAGCATCTTTCCTGTCCACAGTTCTCCTGAGGTGCCTTTACACGACAGCAATTTGAACTCGGCCCATGTGGTTTGTTCCATCAGCCTTGCACCATATTGCCCTACAGTCTCTGGCGATAATTCAACCTCCTCTTGTCCGCTCTATTCCCAATTGCTATGAGGACCAGCATCCACACTCGCACACCTCAGGGAGATTGGGAGCTCTGTCAAAACTATCAATTTGGTTGGGGGCTTTCGCCGACTCGTCCATATTCCACCTCTCTGGCCTCCATGGACAACCTCGTGGCGTCTTCTTCGACCTTGTTTGAGACTATGGACAGAGTCCTGTTCAAGGCCAAGTGCAGATGCCATCTCTACAGACGAGAGCATTGTGCCACCTCTTCCCAATCCCCCTTTCTAGTGCCTCCCCATCATCTTGTGTTTGCATTGTTATATATCCCACCCAAATCTGGCAACTGCTCTTGATCCTCTCAATGTCTTCGAAAACCACACCTCATTCTTTGCCTCACTTCTTGAAAAGACTTTTCCTTCAGTCGCTCTTTCATACACAGTCACTCCTTTTGGCCCTGCCCAATGCGCTTTCTCAATACGGTGGGCGCTTTAGTGCCGGGAGTTGTTCTTGCTGGACCGCTGGCAACGATTACTCCCTGTGCCAGTGCACCAAGCTTATCGGCAATTCCGATCATTGTTACGGCACAGCATCAAACCGTATCAACCTGCTTCGGAGTATCGAAATGTTTCCAGGGGACTTGTACTACGAGATATTCCCTAGACACCTTTGCGTACGTTAGCACCGTTATCCCTGCCGCATGGGATGGTACTTCGATCCACGCAACTACGGTCACTTCTACTACTCAAACGGTGACAGTGTCTCGGTTCCGCACGACAATCACTAAATTGGCCACCGCTACTTCAGCTGTCATCAAGAATGGAACCACTTCCCACGCTCCTCCAAAACCTGTTTACCTCACTGTCGCAAAAGATTTTATGATTGCCTACAACAAGATGGGCCCTTTGGCGATACCAGGCTATGGCGGGAGCGGTCTTTGTAAGGAATGCAACGTGCATCAGGACGGAAGTCGGTCTCAGGTCGTCAATGTTATTGAGTGCAGGTCGGGTCCTGTTGGAGCCAAGTGCATGGGATACGCAGAGACATGGATCTCTATGCCCGCTTCTGCCTCCTCTTCAACGACCCTAACGCCTCTTTCAACCCGATTCGTGGCTCCTTCGGCTGGGTCCTTTACTTTCACCTTCACCCTGACAGCTCCTAGTCATATCGTCACTGCCGGAGTCAAGACCATTACTCTCGCGCCGAGTCCTTACTTCCATCATATCGTTCGTGAGTGCCACAGGCCCCGCGAGATTATTGATTTCACCATTGTCGTCACTAAAACAATCTCCTGGACCTTACCCTGTCTCAGACAACCACCGCGGACATCATCTACTGTTCCGATTCCCACTGGCAACCATGTAATCCCTGGTTTTCGCGATCCAGGTAACCGTCCAAGTTCGCCTGTCGATGACCTAGGTGGTGATGCTTACGACTGGACGAGCTGGGGGAGCGATGATGTGGTCAACCCTAGCCTCCCTCTTTCTCAGGACTGGCGTGATTGGACTCCCAGTCAATCTCAATCTGTACCTAGCGCCGAATCTACTGGCGGGTCTCCGATTTCTAGCCTCAGCCCGACCAGCGGCTCTACAAGCATCTCCTACACGACGAGCTCCATTACAGGCGTCACCTCTGGGACCATTGCAACCAGCAGTGTCTTGACTCGATCTGTGAGCCCTACTGCCGACACTACCAGCACTTCAGCTAGCCTCAGCCTTCCACAGTCATCAATGACCATTACAGCGCCAGTCAGTGGTTCTTCAGCTGCCACGACCCGTGAAGTCACGAGCAGTTCGTCTAGTGGCGCAGGGTCATCGACTACAAGCAGCATGTGGGTTACGACAGTCAATACAGCAAGCTTTTCGGGTGGGCCTCTTCCTGACTCGAGTTCAACTTTAACCCTGAACTCTACGAGTAGCTCTTCCACTAGTCCTATTTCCATCTCAACATCAATTCCCAGCTCAGTTACGGCTTCGGGCTTGACATCTCTCCTCTCCTCTAGCACAAGCTCTGTTAGCAGCGAGAGCTTTTCCGGTGCTCCGATCTCTAGATCCACTTCCAGCGTTACTTCTACTACGACCAGTACTTTACTCATCGCATCCACTACTACTTCCAGCTTCAGCATCGGTCCGATCTCAAGGACAACCACAGATTCATTCCCTTCGAACCCCACTAGCTCCACCATCATTGTTGCTACACCCATTTTGGCTACGACCAGCCTATCAAGCACGGCTTTCTTACCCGGAGCAGGCTCATCCAGCACCTCATTCCAAGCGGCAAGTTCAGGAAGTGGCTCCTCGGGTTTTAGCTCTAGAGCTGTACCCGATTCTACGGCCATCTCATTACGTACAAGTTCGATCGCCAGTCCGAGCCCACCTAGCACCAACCCAGGATTGCCAACTCCAACGAGCATCTCTTCTAGCACCAGCATCGTGCCAGATACTAGCTCATCAGCTTCCCCATCGTCTTTAACAAGTTCAGGGGCCACGACCACCTCAACTAGCAGTACCTCTAACGCCAGTGTTGGCCCGATCGGCGGTTCAACTTCAACCCACAGTAGCACCAGCTCCAGCTCTTTCAGCACCGTGTTGACGTCTTTGACGTCTACTTCAACCTCCGTTGTCGATGCGTCAATTGGATCCGCCTCCACATCCTTCTCGCTAACTACAAGTCTCACTACTCAATCTACGATCACATCTGCGAGCTCTTTTTCAACGATCTCAGCTACATCTCCCGCATTCATTGGTGGTAGCACTTCGTCGCTATCCAGCACAACGTCGAGCACACAGATTGTCCCTGCCCCCCCTGCTACGGGTCCCTTCTTCATCACCACAAACTCACCCCTGAGGACTCGCAAGAGAACCGTTCAATATTTGGGGGTTTCAGATGGCATTGGGACTCTCTTCAGCGATTCATCGGCAGCCTCTAGATTCTTTTTGGATACCGCAGGTTACTTGCGGACTGATTCATTCTATGTAGATTCCAATCTCGACCAGTCTTACCTTACTTTCTCTCTCATTACAACCATCAATGGGCGCCAGTCGAAGTGGTTTATTGATTCCACTGGTCTCCTGTTACTACAAGCCGAGGGATCGGGCTTCTGCGTCAATGAACTTGGTGTTGCATTCGTTCTATTCGGAAGTGCAACACCATTCATTTGCCTCCCCGTGATTCTGCAGACCACTGCCGTGATAGCCAGTAAGTGAAACAGGGATGATACACTTCCCTTGAGATTCTTACATGTCTTCCTCAGGTTCGACAAGCAGTAGCATACGCTCAGTACCCTCCACCACTTCACAAATTGTATCATTACCAACCACTGCCACCAGTCGATCAAGCAGTATCAGTATCACTGTATCAACTTTCTCCGTTGCGGGAACATGGACGTTATCGACCTCTTCGCTACAATCTAGGTCCTCATCGTCCGTCATCAGCCTTGGGGGTCTATCAAATTCCTCCAGGGCTCAGTCACTGTTACACTCATCAACGACTATCACTTTGTCAAGGACATCAGAGGGAGGCAGTGGGCTAGCCACAACCTCTGGAATCCCTGCCTCGTCGGAAATAGCTTCAAGTTCAGAATCTCAGACTTCGCTAGGCTTCGTCTCTGCGCCACCTTCCTCCGATGAGCTCTCGTTCTTGGGAGGCAGAGTCACCTCTTCCTCTACCAAGTCGGAAATATTGCTTCCTACCCGTTTGGCTACTGAGGCGTCCTCCATAACGACAGCGAGCCGAGTATTAGCTACAACGTCAAACATATCTTTTCAGCCAGGCGAGAGCTCTTTGGGAGAACCCAGAGTCCTGCCATCATCGACAATGGCGCAACCTGCATCAGATAGTAGCACAACTACTTCCGGTGCAGTGACCCTGGACGGAACCAAGAGCAGTGCCATTTCCAGCACTAGCACGAGAAGTGTCAATATCCCAACCTCCAATGCGTCTTTAACATCTATGAGCTCGACAACTTCAACTACTATCTCTGCTACTAACACCTGGTTCCAGTATTCGATAAGCACACCTGGCTCCGAAACCACACCTGCCTCTGGAACATCAATGTCTCCTGCCTCAAGTACCAACTCAGATCATGACTTTGTTTCCACCACGTTATTCCCAGTTCTGATGACATCTAGTTCTCCTATCTTTTCGGAACTAGCCACTTTCTTTACAAGTCTCCAATCAACGACGACGTTGTCCTCTGAGTCATCCACATTCGACGGTAGGACTACGTCCTCATCGACTATATCCTCACTCAGAGCAACCGCTACTTCGATATCAAGTAGCACAATCTTTCGAGGAACGCTGGCAGATACGATAGGCGAGTCGACGACCACCGGAGAGATGCTCACACCAAGTCTGAGCAGCACTATTACCATGGAAATTGTCGCAGATGACACCAGTTCAACGTTTGTCAGCGCATCCGCCGAGACACCCCCTACAGTGTCCAGTTCCGGTAGCAGTGCGTTGGCCTCCTCTGCTATCACACCCATTCCGGCGAGCTCTTCTGAGACTTCCGAAAAGGACTTCGGCACAAAAGGTCTCTTGACAAGGTCTGAGGTATCTTCTGCCGGGGTCTCAAGTACTGCGACTGTTGCGACGTCTGCAGCCGTGACGAGCATGGGCATTGCAACGAGTGAGTCGACATCACCGTCTGCGGCCCAGACCACTAATAGCGCAAATCCATCTTTTGAGCTGCCTTTTGCCACAGCTAGTACGGTCAATCCACTACTTGCGCCGGTGCAACTCTCATCGACAAACTTCGGGGGCGCAAACATAGGCCCTTATGAGATCGCCACCTCTCCAGGACCACCAGCCGCTGCTGACCCCACGACGCTCTTGACCGCCACATTTGCGCCTGAGATGATAATGGCTACCACCGCGAACCCTGCTATCCTTGATATGACGCTGTCGGTTGAATATTTACCAATTGAAACCACCACTGAGCTGGTGGCTTTGGAAAAGGTGCGACGGGGCGTACAATACAATGGGCGATATCGCCACGTTGGCGGACCACACTAAGTCACTGCAGCGGATTGTATAACTTTTGACTCTCGTTATCGGCTGTCGAGAGATCTCGTCACAGCTTGTGAGAGGGTTGTTGACTTTTGTAAGACCCTTTTCCAGGGGAAATGTTAGCCTCTTTGATTCCTCTAGGAGAGCTAGAGATTTTGTATGATGAGGATTTGTTGGAATCGTCAACGCCGGGCAAGGTCATCCTGTGGTTCCAGACATGCTGACCGGTTGTGATCTCTCTAGGACGACATTCCTCCCATCTCATTAGTTTATACAAGGTCTTCTGCGTCCAAACAATATGTTTGTAGCTTTTGGAGTCACAGAGCCGTGCAGAAATCACAAGTCGAAATTTTATGTCTTCGAGGGCTCTGGTTATGTCGATGGTATTTGGCTTGTTGATGCAGGTCACGTTCCAGGCCAGTGAGTTATGAGCATCGCTGTAAAAGAACCTCTGCGGCTTTGTCCTGGACATCGGGGTTCCGATTCTCTTTGCCTTCTCGTGGAGGGAAAGGCTATGTGTTCGACATAATCACACAACGCTACGCCCTTGGTGAATCCAGCTATGTGCATGATGCTCGGCGCCCACGATAACTCAATTGCAGCAAACGTTCATGATAGCACATAGCAAAGAGACAGGAGAGAGACGGTGCCAAGCATCCGTGCGACAGAGGACAATGGGCGAGAAGAAGTGGCAGACGACACTGTGGAGGTCGGACCGAGAAGCGTGGCCTGGGATGCAGGACGTGTTGCTTGAGTGCGGCTGTATGGCACGACACTCGGGGTGAAGGTTGGTGTCGTGCTGGTGGACACCCCTGCAACAGAGAAATATGTGCTGGTGATTGATGGCCAGAATCCATAATCCCCGTACTGTAGGCCATACGCCTCGGTATCGCAGAAATAGCTGATGCCATACTCGAAGGGGAGGTAGGTGGACGTTGTCCCCACGGAGCTGGGGCTGTAGCCGCCGCTGTAGAGAGACGCGCAATAGGGGAAGTAGGGATTATTGCACACCAACGCAGTCGAGGTGCAGCCGTCCGAGCAGCTGGCGGTGGCATTGTAGTCGTAGCATGTCTTGAATCCCGCCGTGCAGATATCACCTAATGTCGACGACATAGTGATCAATAGTGTCGATACGAGGGTCGTGGTCAATGTATTCCTCCCTGTGCTCGCATCGGTGTAGTAGCCGGTCGACGTCCAGAAAGTCTCGCTGGTGGTTGAGCAGCATTGCAACAACTGATCATCCGTTATGCAATACTGTCCCACGTCGCAGTATAGGGCCCAATCTGTGTTCATCAGCAACTAACTGGCCCAGATGGGAACTCATTTCCGGAGAAAGGCAGCAGAAGTCAAGGGGAAGTCTCTTACGGACGTCACTGGCCACAAAGCCACACAGTGAGCCCAAAGAAGTGAGCCAGGTAAAAGGTCCTGGATAGATGGTTTCGAGGGTATAGGTCGTTTCCTGCTTCTGCCGCCGTTGTAGCTCCATTGGGTCTGTAGTAATGCCATCGGGTAACAGGGTCGATAGGGTGGCAGTAGCTTCAGGCGGCGCAGTCAGTGCAGCAGCTGGTAGTAGGTGTTGCTGTGGGTTGTCGAGATGTGATAAGTGCACAGCTCCCACTGTGGTCAAGCTGGCAGCAATCAACGGGATTGCATACATGGTGAATAGAGAGAATCGCCGTCTGGGAATAGTGACGACTCCGCGCCGACATTTCACATGGTGGGGAGATGACTTTGCAGCAGAGCCTCAAGGTGAGGTGGACTCAACATATACCTACCGAGTACTGAGTACAAATACTCAATTTCACCCATCGACCTGCACCGTCGAGAGGGGTTGAAATGCCCACTGGCCAATATCAGGCGTTCCTTGTGACAATAGTTAGTGCATGCTGCAGTCGTTGGGGGCCAGTTCTACGGTATTATTCCAGGTTTTGCCACGCACACCCACCACCCTTTCTTCATGAGACTGAGGTCTGTTCCTCGCTTAGCGATGACCACGTCCTTCATTTCAACCTTACCCGGTACAACCCACAGCTCAAGTTGCATCGACCAGGGCCCTACAGGAACTATGCTAGAAGCCAGCCACTCCATTTTGTATCTAGGCCCCAGTGACAACACCACCAGCAACACCAGCCTTATTCTTCACATCGAAACCCGCAGCTTCTGCCTGCCAAATCCCTAGGATGTGCCACAAGATGCACCTCTCCTTCTAACCTACTTCTGAAACTAGCGACGGTCACACCACGCTACTGGAGGGATACAAGTAAAGAGGGGGTTTTAGGCACTTCTGTCTCAACCTGTACAAGGGTCAACGGAGACTGGCTACACTGGCCTAATGACTAACCCTGCATGAGACCATTTGGCGCTGCTCGAGAGGGAGGTCCATTAGTCCCGCTCTTCGTCATGGCTCGAGGCCAGCAAAAAAATAGAGATGCATGGGGAAGCTGCAGCCACCCCGATGGAGCGGGAGCGGCTTCGTCTGGTGATAGCCTGGCGGAGAAGAAGTGCGGTTCATCTCTTTCTTTTCAGCCTGCTGTCCTTTGTGTTCGGTCACTGATCACTACAGCTGGACCACTATCTACAAGTTGGAGGTAGAGTGAAATGCAGCCCACAGTTGAACGTTGGTGACGAGGCCGCTGCTCGTATCCGCCAATGTATTCCTGATTGATAAGGCTACCATAGGAAATATCCGACATCGAGTCAACTTCAGCATCATGCTTTTCAAGAACGGCGGCGGCGGCGGCAGCAGCACAACTTATGCTGCCATTGGTCCCTCTCGGTACCACTGGGAGCCTGGATTACTGCACCTCCCTTTCAAAGGTCTTGGTGCACTACTTCTTGCTGCGGCGGGAGTTGTGGTCTCGATCGCCATCTTGCTAGCTGCGAACGGCGACGATGTGAGGCGATGGAGATTCCAGCCGACAGTTTACCTCTCCATTGCTTCCACCGTCACCAACGTCACTGTTTCCTTTGCCTTCCTGGAAGGTGTCACTATTGCTTGGTGGCACAAAGTATTGAGTGATGGAACAACGGTGGCAGACCTGCACCGTATTTGGGCTTATGGCAACAGCTTTCTCTCGGCCGTCTGGAGCGGTCGCCATTTCAACCTGATTGCCCTAGCGAGTATCCTTGTGGCCCTTACTCCCATCAACGGTCCTCTGCTCCAACGAGCGTCGACAATCACAAATGCAACCGTGACGGCACAAGAAGCACTGGATCTCCAGGTCAATCATCTCGTACCTCGAGGATTCACGGCCATTGTGTCCGGTCGAGGGGACGAAGTGAATATGCTGAGCACCAACTTTTCTACCATAGCACGAGGATACTACACTCGAGTACCTATTCATCTTGAATCCGACTGCACGGCCAAATGTCGGACAAGTGTGTTGGGGGCGGGTTTCCACACGAACTGCTCGTCTTATCAAGTGCCATTCAACGTTACCCCAGCCATAAATTCTACCGACTTCCCGAACCCTGTGGTATTTGGTGCAAACATTGCCTTCGACGTCTCCCTGGATCCGACCACTGCCACTTTGAACGTGCAGTACAAACCTGATGCCGGTTGCGCTGGGCAACTATCGGTGACGAACTGCACTCTCCGGGCAGGCACGGTTCTTTATCCCGTCATTGTCGATGGCACTACATCTACCATCACATTCGATACTGGCAGTACCATTTGGGACGATGTCGCTATTGGGAGCCCTGATTCTCTCCCTGACGAAAATCATTTACTGGGGACGACCACTTACGGGGGAATCTTCCTTGCACTGGCTAATCAGTACAACACCAACCTTCAATTTAGCTTTGGCGGCGCCATTGGCTACCAATTCTCTGGCGCACAAAGCGAAGCCTCGATTGCATATGCTCGAGGAATTGAACAGCAGCCTTCTTGTGATGTCTATTTTACCAACCCACTCGCCGACTTCCTCGAGGGAATACGAGAGCTCATTTTCCGCACTGCGGTCGCCACAGCAAACAGCTCGAATACCCAGCACGTCAATGCGCAGGCTTTTGGGAGCCATACCGTCTACCACACGGACTATCTCTTCTTGGCCTTGGCCACCCTCTCGTCTCTACTGGGTATCGGGTCTGTTCTTTACACCTTCCATGGCTCCTGGAGCATCGGTCGTCGCGTGTCTATGAGCCCGATCGAAACGGCCAAGGCGTTCAATGCGCCTCTGCTGCGGAGCGCAGACTCTAATGCTTCGGCAGATGTACTGCTCAGACAGGTCGGTAGCACGCCGGTGAGGTATGGCCTTGTCAGTGAGGTACGGCATGGCGGGGATTCGACCATTTCCACTGATGAGAGTGTCTATCGTGATAGCCCCATGGCTAGCGGCGTTCTGGATACCGCCTACTCACCACATCCTTCGCGAAGATTTTCTGCCGTTCAAAACTCCTCTGGAAGCGACATTGAGTTGCTGAGCCCTCACGGAGGTGCTGCACCGACAAGTGCTCGACTGGAAATCGCAGATCCCAAGAGGGTTACACCGTTGTGAAGGTTTCCAATTGGGGAGGGTGAACAACCCGACAGAGCCATCCAAATTGGAATTGTACAGATGGCAGGCTTGGTCGGGTAATACCGAGAAACGTTCAGTCTGCAACAATGTCACTCGTCCGCCCCCTTCGCCACAGCCTCGCCTCGTTCGTGGAGAAGTGCGGTACAGCCCTTCGACTGATGTACCTCGCACCCGGTAGATATATCTGGTTGCTGGTTCGCAGGCAAATAGGGGCTCGGGAAAGCCAAACCCGAAAGGATTCACACGTGACAGTGTGATTGGTTTCCATGGTCAAAGCCTCGTCGGCCGATCGGCTGCGCTTAGCGCCTCGGCGCGTCTTAGTGCGGCATTTTTCTGGGTTGCCGGCAAAGGTCCGATTCATTTTCGCTGCAGCTTCAATTCAATTCATCCATCTCCGTCCCTTTTTTTATTTTCCCAAAGTACCAGAAAAAAACCACAGTGACAACTCCATCATTCTCTTGAATTGTTGCTTCGGTCTAGGTCCGCCTGTCTCTAGATCTGCTTCCCCGTCTTTGTTAGATTGCTTCAAGTTGACCTGTCTCTCATCTCCACTCCATTCACAATGGCGACTGCGACTCCTCAGGTCGGTGCTGCTATCCCAGCTACCACCCCCGCGCCCAAACAACTTTCCGGCCTCGATCTCTACAGCAGATTCGTGAGTTTGCATCCGTTAATGAAAGTTGTCTCGCCGCTGACCTCTTCCAGGCCTTCGCTGGTGCAGTCTGCTGCTCTGTCACCCACGGTGCCCTCACCCCCGTCGATGTGTAAGCTCACTTCCAGCCCGCGCAGTCGATAAGCGCTGACATGTGCCTTCAGCGTCAAGACGAGAATCCAGCTGGACCCTGCGACATACAACAATGGCATGATCGGTGGTTTCCGAAAGGTCATTCAGAATGAGGGTGCTGGTGCTCTCTTGACTGGTTTCGGCCCTACCGCAGCAGGTTACTTCTTGCAGGGTGCCTTCAAATTCGGAGGTTACGAGTTCTTCAAGCAGCAATCCATCAACCTCCTCGGCTATGAGACCGCCTCAAACAACCGCACTGCTGTCTACCTCGCCTCCTCTGCCGCCGCCGAGTTCTTCGCCGATATTGCTCTCTGCCCTCTCGAGGCAACCCGTATCCGGTTGGTCTCGGAACCCACCTTCGCTTCTGGCCTCGTTGGCGGTTTTGGCAAGATCTTCAGAAACGAGGGTATTGGCGCTTTCTACAGCGGTTTCGGTCCCATCTTGTTCAAGCAGGTCCCTTACACAATGGCCAAATTCGTCGTCTACGAGAAGGTCGCCGAGGCGGTTTGGCGCTCGTTGGACAAGGAGACCGCTTCCGATGGCACCAAGACTGTCGTCAACCTTGGCTCTGGTCTGATTGCTGGTTTTGCTGCCGCCATTGTTTCCCAACCTGCCGACACCATGCTCTCCAAGATCAACAAGACCAAGGGCCTGCCGGGTGAGAGCACCACCAGCCGACTTTTCAAGATTGCAAAGGAGCTTGGTTTCCGTGGTAGCTATGCTGGTATTGGTGCTCGTCTGTTCATGGTTGGTACCTTGACTGCCGGTCAATTCGCCATCTACGGTGATATCAAGAGGTACGTCTCAAAAGTCCCATCATGTCGCTGGCGGATGCTAACATGTTTACTAGAATTCTTGGCGCGACTGTAAGTTTGCCTCGGCCTCGAGAATTCGATTTCTTTCTAAAGAAACTGTCTATTGAATGGACACAAGCTAACATATGTTTGTAGGGTGGTGTCGAGATCTCCAAGTAGACGCAACAAAAGATGACGGATCTGCATGATTTCAGCTCAGGTTATATGGGTTCGGAGCATTTTCATAATCTTTTTTTGCGCGGGCGGATCCTCAGCATGCACGACACAGCACATCACCATCGGCGACGCTGCGAGAAGCGGTTTAGACCATCAGAGCATTTCCGGATTAGATGGCCTTGGAAGGGGGCCTCGACGAGCTTTCTCGAGGGCTGCGCCAAAAGATTCTTGCATGTGATAGACATTTGTGTGGTTTGCTTGAGCTGCTCGAGGAACAGAGAATCTTCCTAAAGGGGGGGGTTTTTTTCTCAAGACCTCCAAAAGCAAAAGACTTTAGAATAGACGGTGGATTTATGTACCAACAATTCATTTAATGGCACACACGAGAAACGTCTTGACAGGGGGACTCTCTTGACGTCTGATTGTCTGTTGTCTCGCCACATGTGTAATCACTGCGCTTGGATTGTAGTGTAGAGTGGCATCCTCATTGTTATGATTGACCGCCTCCTCCGTCGACCGTCTTCTTCCTCCGCCGAAACGCAAACAAGGCATCGTCTTTACCCGCGAAGCTCGGCAGGGCCACCTGCGCGACCTTTTCCCACCCCGGCCTCTCCCTGGCCATGTACTCGTCGACCATGACGTCCTTGAAGCCCGTGTACCCGTTGCCGTTCTGCGTGCCGGCCACGCAGACGACGTCGCCCGTGTACGCGTCGAGGACTCTGCGGGTGAATTCGCCGGTGCCACTGCCGCCGCTCCCGACGATGGGGTAGACGAGCAGCAGAAGCGACGAGGGACACCCGCCGCGCTTGCGCAGGTACTGCACCCCGTCGGCGACGTGGGTGTCGGGAATCCACACGGTGCGCCACCGCGACTGGCCGCTGTCGACGGCGACGACGTCCAGGTCTGGGCCCAGCCGGCGCAGCATCAGAGTCCAGTACCCGTTGCCGCTGCCCATGTCGAGCACGGTTGGGGTGCGACGACTGCGGTTTTTGGAGTTTGCCGAGTGGGTTGGACCCGTGCCTGTATTTGTGCCTGTAGAGGTGGTGGAGGTGGAGGTGGAGGTGGAGATGGAGGAAGCAAGTTTCGCAATCACCTGCAGAGCCTCCCACGACGGGCACACGCAGCCAAAGTGGTGCATGTACACGGGCAGGATGTGGTGCGACATCTTGACCAGCGCCGTGTTGGCGTTGGGCCCCGCGTACTCGAGCGCCGTGCACGAGTAGGCCCAGAAGTCCAGCGCCGGGTTCTCGTGCCGTGTTGTCGTCTTGGAGGACGTGCGGGAAGATGATGGCTGCTGGTTCGATCCATCCTGCTGAGCTGCCACCGCCACCGCCACCACCACCGGAGAAGGCTTGAATTTGGGCACGCTGATCGAGGCGTCCAGGTAGCGTTTGCTCAAGAGATATTCAGCCACGGTCGCGCGGAGCGACCCCTTTTTGGCGTTGGCTGCCAGGGACTTGAGACTGTTGGCGGCAGATCGGGTCGGGTCGAATAACGAGATATACGCCTGGATGTCTGCCGGGGGCGGGTATCCCGATATTCTCAGTGACGGCTGTCCGGGGATCGTCCTGGGTTCCGAGGGGTCATTGCTGTTCTTGTCGCTGTCGTTGTTCTCGTCATCATCATTATTCTCGCCGACACCGTCACTACCACCAGTTGCTGGCGCAGACGGAGGTGCAGGTGGAGGCGAAACACGCTCGACATACCACCCGTGCAAGCCATTGACCCGTCCAGCGCGAATCGCCGCCTCTGCCTGCGCGAGGTTCACCGACGCGGTGGCATGGTACGTGAAGTTGTCGCCGGCGGGCAACTCAAAGGCCGAGGCGATGGCGGCGCGGAACTCGTTTGCCTGGAGGTGCGCATGGATCTTGTCCCAGACCCCTGGAGCCGGAGCGGGAGCCGCCGTCGAAGTTGTCTCATCATTCCCCTCAACCACGCTCGAGAACAAGTGCGAGGGAGACCACGTCTTGGACCCGTCCGTCACTGCTTGTGGTGAGGGTGGCATTTTATCCTTTCTCTTTTTTTTTTTTTTGGAAGTCAGAAGACAGACAGCACACTCCGTAGCCCGGAGGATGAACCCAGTCCAGACAATTGAGCCCTATTGATGGAAAATTTCGCGCAGTTGGATTTTGCGGGGGAAAGTACCTTGAGGTAAGGTCTTTAAAAGGTCAGGACCTGCGCAAGCTAGAGTCAGGGAACTTCGTTCTCGCTCCTGCAGAAAGACTTTTGAATGGAACGGGGGCTTTTGTAGTCGATCGGGGTTCATTGATTTCAAATGACGACATTGCATCGATAGGTTGGGGTAACGAAAAAAAACAAGGCTGCGAGGGCCGAGTCCGCAAGGCTGCGCACCGAAAGGGGAGTAAGAGAAGTGAGCCATCGAAGCCCGCGAGCTAGCGAGGGAAAGAGGAAGAGAGTGGGAGAGGGGTGTTGTTCATGTAGTACTCGGTCGGTGCGGAAGATGATAGCCCAACTCAATTTTTGTTCCATTGTGATTTTCCTATCCCATCCTATCCCATCCTATACCACGCTTGCTATGCCCTGCTACACTCCCTAAAACGCCTCGTGCATATGAAACACCTTGACTAGGGTCTACATTCTGGGTAATAGAGAAAGAGAGCGAGAGAGAGAAGAAAGACACCTTGACAAACATAAAATCCTCCTCCTCCCACCATTCCATTAACCCTTTTCCATGGTCCAATACCAATCTCCATCCTCCGCAGTCACAGACTCACTGAGTTGGCCACCGGCACCTCATTGACGTTGACGCTGTCGTTGTCGAAACTCATACTCATTCTCTTCTTCTTCTTTTTCTTCTTCTTCGTCTTTTCGCTGGGACTGGGATGATCCTCACCGTTGATGGCTTCCATATGCACCGCCTCGGCACCCCTCTCTTCGAGCCCGACGGTCACGACGCCATTCGCCGCCGCAACTCCCTCGTCGCTGCATGCGTCACCAAACGCCGACTCGTACACGACCTCATCATGGGACAAGTGGTTCTTGACTCCATTGGTGTCTGCATGTGGGGTCCGCGCACCGTCACCATCCTCGATTATTGCATCCACGGGAACACTGTCATGGGCGACTCCATTCGCCTCGACAACTGGGTCGACATCGTCGACTTTGAGTTCTGGTGCATGTTCTGGCGCATCCTCAAAGACAGGCTCGAGCCTATCCATTTCTTCAGATGCCTGCATCTTTGGAGGCTCCTCAAAGTTCTCTGCCACAGGGACCACATTCCAGTCCTCCTTGACATAATCTTCATTTGGAGGCGCCTCTTGGGGCCGTTCATAGACTTTTGGATCCTGCTCTTGCTCCGGGTCCTCCTCCCAGAGGGGATAGCAGTCTTCTTGTGTATAGGGACACCCATCACACAGGCTCTGCCGACGTTTGATTTCGTCATGGTTATGGAAGCGGCAAGACCCTGTCAAATAGTCCTTGGCCGTCCACTCCTTGTCGTTGGATTTGTGAAGATCCCAGCCAAAATCAGAATTGCGCTTATAGGTCCTCTCCCACTCATCGCCATCGATGTAACCCCTCGGCACCTGACCCAATGCCGCCTTGATCACCTCTCGGAGCGGACTCTTGTTGGGTGCTGCTTGATAGATGGCGTCCACGATAGCGGCCTCCAATTTCCACTCATTGTTCGCGAGGTTGTGCCGGATCATGTCGGTCACCTGGTTGCTCAGAGCCGAGACCTGGTACTTCCAGGCGAAGACCCCAAGTTGGACAACCTCGCTGAAACTCAACCGGTCTTCGAGCTGAGGATTCGGGCAGAAGTTCCAGATGAAGAACTCTTCCATTGTCTGGGCACCGGTCTCGAGGAGTGTGATTTCTCTTGTAGCAGAGTACCGTGAGAGCTCCGTAATTTGCTCTCGCAGGGTTCTCGAGCGACGTTGCAGAAACTCCTCGGGGATGAGAAATCCCCTAAGAGTGCCATCATCTTCGCCGACTAATAACTTGACCCGCGGACTCTGGCACCACCTAAGGACTGGTTAGCAAGACGGCTGATATCAGGGCAGCTGTGAGAACTGACCGGACATATAGTCCACGGTGACGGGGATCCATAGCTCATAAACGGCCTTTCTGGGTTCTAAAGCAACAAGAAGAATGGAATTCTTGATTAGACGAAGAGAGAAAACAAACCCTATGTATATTCACTCATGGCACGCCATAATCCTTGTAGAGCCTCAAGCTCGGTGTCGCATGCGAGTAGACCGGCTCGCTGCCAATGGAACAACCTTGACAAGCGACGCGTGGGAGTCTGTGAGTGGATGGCAAAGTGAAGCAGACTTACCTCGAGCTCAAGGGCATGATGCATCGACCGTCCTTGTCTCTGTTAACTCACCGGTCAGTAACAGTTCGTGACATCCAATCATGATTCTTGTTGGCGGAGCTACAAACGAAATGCACCTGTGAGCAGGCTCGAGTACGTTCCTCACCGATGAGCCTGGGATACACATGCACACAAAGATAGACCAGATGGATTTAGCAAGGGAGAAGGGTCCCGTTCAGCGGTCTGCAGAAGAGAGCAGCCACCGGAGAGCACCTTCTCGCACGGCCCGTCGAAAGCTACACTGCTAAATCGAAATTGAGTCGTCTAGCTTGGTAGATACATTTGCCTCCCGGTAGCAGTGAGCTAGGGATCCTGGGCTTCGGAAGGATGGGTAGGAATCAGAATTCCAGTCTGCAGGGACGCAATGGACTAAATGTCTCGGGCATCAACTGGACTCTGCAGCGGCGGCGCTGTAAAGGCCCGCCTCAGAACTCCGGGGAGGCGCTGTCGGTTTCGGCCGCTTCATCGTCAGTACGAGGTATATCCCGCTCCCATGGTCGTTTTCGCATGTGTGTGCTTTCTCGGTCGTTTAGAGCATGTCACGCAGCCCAAAGGGCAATCAAAGCTCTGCCCAGTCGTCTTGAACAGGTGACATCTTCCTCGGGGGATGCGAGACACCAACTGGACATCAGGCAATCGCGAACGAAACCATTGGGTGCTTTGTTCGGGCAGCAACAGACGTGATTGAAGGTGCGCCCTGCAGGTTGTGCTTGGGCACTGTCTAGTTGACGCAAGTAGAGCATGGCAATGTGCAATGCGCTGGCCGGCTTGGTCGGATCCATATCAAATGACCAGTTGTCGAGAAGAGATTTGGAAAGGTCGGAAATAATAATCGAAGCCCAAAATGTCTCGAGAGAGCCTAGATTCGGTACCCAGCAGCAATCCACAGGCCCCTCTGCACCAAGCGTGCATTAGCGCAAGGCAAACAGACAAAAGGAATGCTTTGGCGAGGCGCCTTGCTGGTAGCAACTTTTCAATGCCCAAAATATCCGGCAGTGAATGGAAAAAGGTGCCAGGCCACGTCCGCTTGGGTATCTCTATAGTCCGCGTTCATTCCATGTGATCCAGGGATACTGCTTAGCCTCGAGGAGTCCAGCGAGGCGACACCGACAGGGACTTTTGGTGCAAAATGAGGCTCAAGTTCATCAAATCCAGACGGTCTCGCTAAGGTAGTAAAAAGTTAATGTAGACAGGTTACCGAAATTGATCTGAATCATCGAATAGCGAACGGACAGAAATCCCAAAAGCCACCCTAATTAGCTTGCAGTCATCGAGACAGTTGTACAGAGGCATCTCAAACATAGTCGAAGCATCCTGCGAAGGGTCTGCGTAAGCCTGCGGTGACTCTGGCCAGGGACCCCCAAGTCGAATGCTGGGCTTGGGTATCAATCCGACAGAGGCACCAGCCCAAGCGTCCTCATTCCGTTCTCCAACACAATGTGGCAACATTTGTAGAATGCCAGTTTGGCTAGGCTTCGAGCAGAGCCTTCGGCCTCGGCCTCATCTTCCCAGATACTGGGCAAGAGGTCGATGATGCTGAACAGGAATGTCAGAATCTGAGCGGATTCCAACCTTTCAAACGACGTCTTCAGGATCGCGGGGAACTGGACGAGAAGCCTGAGAATGTCGGCGTATGTATTGTCTTCACCATCGAACATGCTGTAATCTGTGCTCTCGAGTTCCGCACGATCGATCTCGACACCGCTGAGTTTCAATCCAAGCTTTGTGTGCCATTTTTGAAGGTTCAAGCCAGTATAATCCCTGGTGTTTGCCAGCTTGTTGAGGTCAAAGTTGAACGTGCCGCCGCGTCTGGTAGAGAGATCGTCGACCATGAGATTGGTAGCACCCAGGGCATCAGAAACTTTCAGTGGATCTTGCTCGGAAAACAGCTGAGCTGCCTCTTCGTCTGTGTCCAGCGCCAGTTGAGTTGCATCGCGACATTGGTCTAGAATGTCGCCCAAAAGGAGGCCACTGGTTCCTTCTTTCGGCACGAGGCCATGTACGTCGCCAAAGCCGACATGATCGAGTCGTTGCGCCAAGTCAGAACGGTCCATCAAGTCGAGGACCTTGAAGACTTGTTGAAAGTGAGTAGTCTGCCGCGCCGACACGACGTAAATCATCTTGTCAAAGGAATATTTCTTGCTGCGCTCCAAGACGGCCGCAACATCTCGGAGCAAGTATGTCGTGGTGCCATTACGAAACCGGGCGATGGCCGCCCCGTGCTTTTCATCGTTTTTGTTGATATCAATTACCCAGGCACCATCACTCTCCCGGTAGACTCCCTTCTCCTTCAATGCATTCTCGACCTCTTCAATAGTCTCGTGAGAGACATCCGACTCACCCGAGTAATCGTCGAATTTCACACCGAGTCGGGCATAAAGTTCCGTGTATCGCGTAATGCAGACTTCACGAAACCTTTTCCACAAAGCCAGGGCATCTTCATCGCCGTCCTCGAGTTTCTTGAAGAAGTCGTCTCTTTCTGCTTCGAGCTCGTGACTCACTTCGGCGCCATCTTCGCCTTCGGGGTTCTTCTTGGCCGCTTCCTGCTCCTTTTTGAAGAGATCCTCAATCTGTTCGTACACGTCAAGCAAATGCCGTAGAGGATCAGCGTCGAATTGATCGTCTGACCCGAATCGCGACCAGCCTGCTGCCAGAAGTCCGACATGCTT